CGTTCGTCTTGAGGGGTGCACGGTTCAGGACACGCCCAGGAAGTGAGGATTTTGGTGTTTTGGGGGCATGGGCATGAAGGCTTGGAGGTTCAGGATGGGCGGCAGGGCTAGCAGTGTGTGGTGTCGTGTGCGTCCGAGGTTGCATGCCCCAACTTCTTGGACGTCTTTGGATGGTTTGTTAACATGCTCCAACGGAGGCCCGGCTGATGCCTCAACTTCCGAGTTTCTCCTATAGGGCTCCGAGTCAGAAGTAGCTCAAGCTTTCGACTCACGCCATGAGGCTCAAGCCACTCTCAGCTCAGCTCTCTTGTGTTCTGTCCAGCACACCAGGCTCTCTTGTTCGATTCTGCCATGATGCGTTAGAAGTGGTTCGGGTTGGTCAGCATGGGTCGTGATAACTGCAGCAGGCACATGGAGGCTTTCAAGAAACTTCCACTCGATGTAGATGCATGCAGGCAAGACCCATTAACCGTAACCTCCAAGCTGACGACACAATCTTACTTTCCGAGCTGTCTCTCAGAGGACCTATGCATCGTGCAAGCATTGTTCAGTCTCAATGCCAATGCTGCACTCCTGCCGCCCAAGCCGAAACCCCGAAGCCCCAATCTTCAAAGCGGATCCAATATTGCAGTCCCAAGCTCCTCACAATCTCTGGGCCCAACCCAACAATGAAACCGTAAACCCTCTCTGAAACCCTACACCCCGGAACCTATGCCTCGAACCCTATACCCCAGACCTACAGACCCCCTTCAGGCCTTGGTCGCAGCCGGCCACGCCTCGCGTCCTTCTTCGGTCAGGGACAAGGCTCGCTGCAGGTTTGTTGATCTACCTTAGTGCTCTTGGGCTTTTTTTTTTTGTTTATTGTATTAAAAGGTCCGAAGGCCCCAAAATAGTATGCATTGACCTACCTTCGCACGCGCTAGAGCCAGGTCTCTGGTCTGTTTCCTAACAGAAGCACGAATGGACACGCCTGAAGGAAACCTTGTGACGCCAGGCATGCACGACCCGTATGCCCAGAACCACTACGGAGGCTACGATCAAGGCTACGGCCAGGGCTACGGCCAAGGCTACGGCCAGGGCTACGGCCAGGGCTACGGCCAAGGCTACGACCAGGCCATGGTGCGCTTGTTTTCAACAGTGTAAGCAGAAACAATAATAAATAACAATAGAAGAATGACAGCAATACTAGCAGAAAATTCTGGTAATGCTCATTATGATTAAAAAGCAGATAACCATAATATCTACCAAATATGATCATGATTTGCAGAAGGTAGCAACTCGAAATCAGATCCTCCTTCTGTGGTGCTATTCCTCCCTGGCCCTGAATCCTAAACCCTTAGCCCTGTCAGGACATGTCCATGAAGGAAGAGGAGGCGGCTGAAGATGATGACATGGAGGAAAAGTCCGAGCATCTGTCGCGCCTTTGCGATAAATGGTGGCGCAAAGGCTTTTTTTGTCTCGGGGTTTAGGGTCTCTAGTTAGGTTCAATTTTGTCCGGGTCTCGGGGTTAAGATTCGGATTTTGGGGTGTAGGAGTTTGGGGCTCCAGGAGTTTAAGGAGAAACGCTTAAAAAGTGGCCAGATGGGCCAAAAAGTCAATTGTGGCATTCCCGGAAATTGCTTGGGTTTAGGGTTCCCTAAACCCTAAGCTCTTGGGTTTAGGAGCCTGGAGTTTAGAGTTCAGCACCTCGGGCTGGCAGAGGTTTAATTAAACCACTCCTGCCTCACCGGGGTCACGGCCATTTTCGTGCCGGATCCCTCAACATGCAGCTGCATTCATGACCAAGATCTTAGGTCCTCAGCCCAAATCCCTAAACCCCAAATCCCCAAACCCCAAATCCCTAAACCCCAAACCTTTCATCCGCCGCCTCAAAAGCCAAGGCACATGACCTGCGGCATCTCCTCCGGACCTGAGGGCGGAAGCCAGGTGACGTGTGGCGTCCCGATGTGCCTCCGCCTGCCTTGATAGAGTCGGAGTAGCGAATCACTAAGTCGTTTGGGATTCAGGTTTTAGAGAGAGAGAGAGAGAGAGAGAGAGAGAGAGAGAGAGAGAGACAGGGACGGAGACATATATATATATATATATATATATATATATATATATATATATACATGTATATATTTTCGTACCATACATATGCATAGATATACACACATTCATATTAATATATACATATGTACAAGATGTATCTAATAGTATCATTTACATATGTAAACTAATTAGTTGATTAATGAATTACTTACTTAATTCACTAAGTAATCAGTTTATTAGTATAGTTAACTGATTAATTAATTAATTAATTAAGTAACTAATCAACCAATCATAAAATAGATTACTTAAAGAAATGACTAACTATCTAACTAGCATGGGCTGTAAGCAGTGAATCCGTGTCGCTGGAACGCGATCGTGAGATCATGCTTTGGGGGCTTCAGGATCTGTCTTCGGCGTGCTCTCCGGCTAGAGTTGAGGGTTCAGGGTTGACGGGCTCTGTGAAGCAGTTGCAAGTCAGAAGCTTCAGGGCTTATGCCTCGTGAGCTGTGCTACGAAGCTCCGGCCTAGGACTGTTGGTCCGGTGTCACCTGCAGTGAGAGTATGTCAAGCATTCGCTTCGGACAAGGTCAGAAAGTCTTATGTGTTGCCTGGCCCGGATGTGCTTGAGGCCTTGTGAACGCGTGCCTTGCTGTGTGAGAAAGACGCATCTTGGATTGGTAGGCTGCCCTGATCACGGCCACTCCAACCTCTCAGAAGATAGTTATGTTGTCATGAAGCAAAGCAAGCGTTGACAATCACAGGGCCTAGCCACCGATAGGATGCACAAGCTGGCAGACACGGTAGCAAGTAGGCATCTGGGTTGGCAGCAGTGTAGATCAGTCCCAGTCCTGATGCTGATGGCGGTTGCTGTCATCCGCATGACCTCGAACTGCTTCGCTCAGCTCGACATATCCCCAATAAATGTCTAGAGTCAGACTCAGAACCCTGCGGTCTGGATTGCACACCCCGCAGCTTCCGAAAGGTACCGGGACAAAGCCACCGGAGCACCATACATTATGCCGTGTCCCTGGCTTTCCGAATGTGCTCGGGGACGCAGCTCAGCAACATGCTGAGCAGTACCAGCGCCCATGTACTGGGACGACATGGGCCACCAGTAGCGCCACCAGCGGCACCGACAGCAGCGCCACCAGTGGCAGCAGCAGCAGCAGCAGCAGCAGCAGGAGCAGGAGCAGGAGCAGGAGCAGGAGCAGGAGCGGCAGCAGCAGCAGCAGCATCAGCAGCACCAGCGCGTTTACAGATCTTGGCGACATGTTGTTTTGAGAAGAAGCGTCCGGGCCCTTCGTTGTAGTGGTGCGTTGGAGCTCAAGATGTGCCAGGGCGAGCGGTGGCCACTTGTAGTGCAGTCGGCGATTTGCAGTATCCCCACGTTTACCCGAGCTCGAAGCCCCTGCATCCCTGGATGCTAGAAAGCCTAGTAGTAGACCCTAAGTCCGAAAGCCTCAACGTAAAGCCCAAAGCGAGGCCGCTTTACACCGAGCCGGTCGGGCCGAAAGCAGGCCGGGCTTGAACTGCAGGTCCTGCGGTTCCAATCGGGTTCAGATGGGTTCTCGTTGTACGAAACTGCATTCAAGTCACAAGCTCTGCTGTAAGTATACTGAGAGTGTGCTGTGCTTCGATCGGGCTCACATGGGTGGCTTCGTGTGCGGGCTTTGGGGAGGGGGAAGGTCGATCGAGGATCTCAGCCCAAGGAACACCTTAGCTCCAAACCTTTAAAACTCTGAGCTTCCAAAGTAGGCCGGGAATCTTCAATCCTTCGAGTATAAAGAGCAAAACCATTTTTAGGCCTCCTTATCATACTTGTAGGATGTATGTAAGTATGTATGTATGTATGTGTGTATGTATGCATGTATGTATGCATGCATGTATGTATGTATGTATGTACGTGTGTGTGCACATATATGTATACACACGTCTTCTGTACATATACTTAGTACATGAATACTATGCCCGACCGTCTAAGAAGCTCGGTTAAGCAGCGCCTGGACGGAAGCCTGGCAGTCTTCGCAGGCGTCTCCTCATCAGAGAAAGCTGGTGCCGGAGGAGGCAGCCCTCATCATACTTAGCAAGACAATATACAATCATCAACCAATGAAACAAGCATAAACATCATATGGTTATGACGCGAAGAAGCTCTTCCCGGGCGTGGTTGTAGCAATGCTATTTGTAGGGTTCCGTAGTATGGTGGTTCGGATAGTAGCATTGATGCTCCATCAGGAGCCACCAAAGACCCTAAAGGACCCTAAACCCTAAACACTGCGCCTTGAACCCTTCCGTTCTCTCCTCACTTGGGCTTCTTATGAGCCGGAAGCATGCTCGAAATCGGCCAGGGAGTTGGCAGCAAAACGGCACCAGAGTGGTCGTGACGAACTTATCCAGCCTCATTATGCAGCCCTCTTTATTCTGGCCCCAAATCTAAACCCTACGCCCCTAAACCGCAACTCGAGATCCCAGAACAATGTAAGCTTGGAGAAATTGGAGAAACCCTAACCGAAGGTTTTGCCTTCTTACTTAAACTGTAAACTGGAAGTCCTTGAACCCGAAAGCCCCAAAACCCCTACCCTAAACCCTAATTTAAACCCTGGAGTCAGGCGCCCCGGTGGTTTTCAGCAGCCCAGCAGCAGAGGCGGAGGCAGCCCGGGCGCAGATGATGGAGGCCATGCTCCGCCCCCCCCCCCCCCCCCCAAGTTTCAGCGGTATTCAGGGGTTCAGCGTTTGAGGGTTTAGGGTTTGGGGTTTCAGGGCCAGTGCAGTTGACGGTATCAACCCCACCTTTCAGCAAGAGGCAACAACAAATGCACCAACAACGGGAACACATGTGACAAACCAAGCACTTAACCACATAACGAACCAGAAACTTGCCCACCTCCCTTTCAAACCCTACACCCTGCACCCAAAACATCCCTAAATCCCCTCAGGCAGCTGCTTCAACACGCATCAGGACTGAGGCCATGAACTTACTCAGGCCATCTGCCCCGGGTTTTCCAGGCCACTTCTGAGCTGCAGGGTTTGTATAGCAATACGGAGTCTAGAGTCCTGGGTTTGGGAATTAGGGTTGATGGGTTTGGGGTTTAGAGTCTTGGGTTTGAGGTTCAAGGCTGAAGATTTGGAGCAACTCCAGCGAGGGTCTGCCAGTCCTGCTTGAAGCCGTCAAACCCTGCTGCGCAGCCTGTACAAACCTGTTTCGAACTGTAAAGCCTAAACCCTGACGGAAAAGAGGGGATACCAAAAAGACCTAACCGCCCTAACCACAAAAGTCTCAGAAACCCTGTTCTGCGAGGGGCTTTCTGGATAACGCACCGGCTCCTCCGGCCACGTCGTCGCCGAGTGGCTTCCTCTTCAAGGGTCCAGGACCTTTCATGTTTTCTGGGTTTAGGATTCAGTGCCCTTAACCTCGGAATGGTTCAGTTGAAACTAGTGGCAGGACAGGAGACGTATCATCTTTTGATCTCGCAGAGTTGGTGCTTCGGGATTGAAGACACTTGGATGTTTGGGTTTGCCCGCGAGTGAGCGGGTGAGTTTGCAGCTTGGGAGAAGATGGGAGTTTGAGGTCATAATAAGGGATCCCAAGACAGTCCCCAAGTAGTAGGACCCTTGATACAAGATGCACTTGAGATCCTTCTACAGCGTTCTTGCGAGGTGCCTCAAGAGTGCCTGCTTGGGTTCACAGAAGAACCAAGCCTCTCACGCTGCAAGCTGCTTGTCGGTTTAATTAGAGCCAATACTACTCTTGACACTGTTTACTGTCACTGTGTAGTTTGCGCAGGTTTCTGAGTTTGCACTTTGTGGAGTAGTCGTTGAGGGTTTGGTGTCTTGGTGGGTTGATTGTCACTACTGTGGTATTTGCTGCTGCTGCTGCTGCTGCCCTTGTCGCTGTCAGCATCACTGCCTATCATCATTATCTATCGTAGCTTGCGTTGCCTGTCATGCACTTTCCTGACTGTTCCTTTTGAGGTCCGGTTGGCCAACAAATCACGCTAATGATGGTGACCTCGCTTATCAGGACACCGAGGATGAGGAAAGACTTTAGATTGGGATAGAGGACGATGACGAGAAGGACGACGGTGGTGAAAAGGATGCAATACGTTTGCTGATCGCGATGATTGCTTGCTTGTTTTTCTGCTTCTTATTGCTACTGCCAGGTACTGCTGCTGCTATGACGAGTACGAAAGTTAGTTAGTACTACTACCATGCTCACTTTGCACACGGTTGCTGTCAGCATTGCCACCACTATCATTGGTATTGCTGTTGCTACTTTGCTTTTCCCTACTGCCATTGAATCGCCTCAACTTCGCTGCCCGGTTCACGCCGCAATGCAGGAATGCCGTCGAAGCTTTTCTACCCCATCCCCAGCAAGACGTCGCCAAGTGGAATCGAGGCCCACTTCCGCGTCGAGATTTGCAAGGTTGTGTTTCAACGATGGGGGTCGGTTCATGTGCGCAGGGTTACAAGTTTGATGCAATTTGCGTCTTCCTGGCTCAAGCCACCGCACAGCGCCTCGTGTGCAAAACGCGAGTGCCCGTAAAGCAACCCAGTTATCTCGCAATTTTCCATACTGCAATTACCATAATCATAGATCCCTTACAGGAACCCCTGGTGGTACCCTTAAAAGGAACCCTAAGCTGAAAACCCTATAAGATAGCAAAAGATGGCCGAAGACATTCCTGGCATCAGTGGCTTCGACCTGGAGGCTTTCTTGGCTGCACAGAAGAGGACAGGCGAAGATGCCGAGCGAGAAGCCCGAGATCCCTTGGGTCGGCATCGCTGGGTCTGTCTTCAGAACCTTCAGACAGCCGCTCTCAACGGCAAGTACGCGGAGATTGTTGTTCCAGCCAACGCAGACGGCCGTTTCGGTGTCCGCGTGCAGGGAGAGCCAGTCCCAAAGCTCATCAAGAAAGAGAACCTGAAGCCGATTGATGATGCGGAAACGCTGCAGGTGTGTCGCATTGCAGCCAAAGGTGAATCACAGTTTGTTGGTGGCTACATTCAGAACACACGCTGGCCACGTGCGGTTCTGAGCAGCATGCCGGGGACGGTTTCTCCGATTTCGGTCAAACTTGGCTTTCCGCTGCATGTAACTCGGGTCCAGGCTCGTTCCAAGCTCTCAGACCGAGCGGAATTTGACAATCAGTGGGCTACGTACATGCTCATCGATCCCAGGTCAGGGTTTGCACCAGATGAGTGGCAGTCCTTTGTGGGACCCGTAGTGGTGTGGAGGCCAGAAGGAGATGTTTCTGCGGATGATGTGTCTCTTCTGAACGACTTCGTGTCAGACCTCCTGAACGGTCCGTACTGCGAGGGCACTCTCGAGCCGGATCGCGATCTCACGCCTGCCGCATGGGCTCGTCATCGCGAGCGTACTTTGGAGAACTTGCGGTTGAATCCACGCATGGAGCAATACGAAGACCTGCACATCTGAATCACTTGGCCGCATGTCTCCATTCCGTCCTGTTGGATTGATTGTGCAGAATGCTTTTGTCCTGAGCTCGACGGCACTGAGGTTTTTGATTCGTCGCATGTTATGTATGGAAAGTGTATAGACATACAGCGATGTTGAGCCGGGCAGATGGGCGACTGAATGTCGCGCAGCACCAGGTCATTGATTGGGACAAATCCGGCCATGGCTAGCTATCATGTACGGTATCATACTATACTATAATATACCATAATATACTATAATATACCATAAGCTGAAAAACGTCTGCGGCGCATGTCCACGTAACGCAGCTGTTGCCGTCTCGGCAGTCGGTGTTTCTTAGGGGTACTTAGGAATAACTTTTCATTTTTGGTTATCTTAATCCTTAAGAAACAGCTAATATTTTGATTTTTGCAAGGGTTCTAAACTCGTCTCTCCTGCAGGCATCAAGGGCCTCTAGGTACAACCATGTTCTTGCGGGTTCATGCCGGCAGAGGCACCAAACTCGGGCCGCAAACCGTGTCGATGCTCTGAGTGGAGTGATGGAGTCGACGTGTCAATGAATGATTCACTATTCACGAGTCTTCATGATGCACTGTGTGGTCTCTCACACGCAGCTGCAAGGGGACCCCGAACTGCCGCTGGAATTTACATGTGATGCCGGATTTGGCCCACCCACCCCTGCAGATGCACAAAACTACACGATGCATCCTTTGAGCTGCACAGCGATCTCTTGCGCAGTAACGGCCATTTTGGCTGAAACATGCACTGCATGTTCACATGGGTGGTTGTCAAAATTCGGGTCCCTTTTTGGGTACCCTAATAATAGGTGCCGTATTATAGTAGCCATAATTTTGACAACCACCCACATGTGTATGACGTCTTGTATATCACCTTTTCATCTATTATCTAGCATCTTATGTACGTTCTATCTGTTATCTGTCCTCTATTATGTCTTATGCAGTTATGCAGTATCTAGCAGGTACAATTGTATAATCCTCTGACTCGCCGAAAACCCTCAACCCCCAGACATCAAAAGGGCCCTCAAAGCAACACCCAAACCCTGAGCCCTAAACCCGGAGCCTTAAACCTCAGACCCTGAACCCTAAACCCGGATCCCAGAACCCTAAACCCGGAACCCTAAAACCCCAGACCCTGAACCCTAAACCCTAAACCTGAGACCCACCGCAGGTTGTGCCTGACATCGGGCCAGTGGGGGAGCCGACCCCGGAGGCTTCTCTTGTTGGGTTTGAGGGCGGTTTCTTTGGAGGGCGTGGAGTTTCAGGGTTTAAGGTTAGGGGTTTAGGTTTGGAGTCTAGGGTGTAAGGTTTGGGGTTTCAGGCTTAGGGTTTAGGGATTAGTTTTGGAGTTTCGGGTGTCGGGTTTGCGGTTTACGAATTGATACGCGGTTTAATGTTTGGGATCGTGGGTTTAGGGGGAAAGGTTGTGCTGTTTCCGGGGTTCTGAGGGTTTCAGGCGTTCTGCCTGAAGAGCGGAGGATGCAGCATCTTAGAGGGAAGGTTTCAATTATTGGAGCTTTCATGGCCCTGCTTTGCGAGACTTTTTGTTGGCAGGCTGCAGGATGGAACCGAGCACCGCACCCTGAAGATTGGAACCCTCCATGCCCCCAGAAGATGCCGACCTGAGCCCTAAAGCCCCTGAGCCCTGAAGCCTGTGAGCCCTAAAGCCCCTTGAACCTTGAGCCCCGCAAGCCATATAAATCCCAGGTTGCCCCAATCCTTTAAACCCTTTAGACCTTAAACTCCGACACCTCTGACCCTTAACCCTTACACCCGATGTGCCTTGTAAGTGCGGAGCCCTAACCCGTAAATCCTGGAATCGTTCAACCTGAACCACAAAATCCACAAAGCCAGGGTTCTTAGCCCAAGCACTAAGCCCTACCAGCCCTACAGATCCTATGAGCTTAAACCCAAATATACGGGGCGAAATGATTACCAACACTGTTTCGGGGGTTCCTTATTAGACTTATAGTATGATGGGCCCCAAAACCCTATCCTAACAATTAAGGTCCCTATACTACACCCCAAGAGTCCTCAACCTTGAGCGAGAGCCAACCTTCCGCTCGAGGTGCCCGGCGGCATGAACGCCCCTGGCGAGACTTGTCGCAGAGTTTAGGGGTTAGGAGTTCGGGGTTTAGGGCTACTACTCGTAGGGCTTGCTGTAGGATTTCTGTTCAGAGTCTAGGGTTTACAGGGTTAGGGTTTGCAGGGTTTATGGATGTTGAAAAGTCTACTTCTGTTTACCCACTGACTTGTTCTCCGTGTCGCTAAACCGAACAACGGCGCTTTGACAGCCTTGTTCATTCTATTCACGCTAAGACTGCTGACCTCGCTGGTCGGAGCAGCAAGAACGACCATGATCGGGACTTGAGTTCAGTGGCCATAGTATGCCAAAGCTAAATCATCAAGGTTCTTCCCGAATGCCCGAAGCCTAATCAGCAATCCGAAGCACCAAGCTCTGAACTAAGCAAAACCCCATTACACCAACTCCACAGACCCCATTCATCCCGAGCTTTAAGCTAAACCCCTAAATCCTGAACCCTAGGCCCCAAACCTTCAGTCCCTAACCGTGCAACCCTAACACGTAATCCTGAACCTTGGACGAAGCCAGGAACCGACCCAAACTTCAGACCCTGAGCCCTAAACCCTGAGCCCTAAACTCCTAAAGCCTGCATCCTAATCCTTTCCCGCAGAAAGGTGGGTCCCTCCTCCTTCGACTCCAACAGCTTCCTGGCTTACGGGTTTAGGGTTCAGGGCTTTAGGGGCTTTGGGTTTAGGGTTCTTGTTTAGGTCAAGAGTAGGTCGCCCTCGATCCTGAACCTTGCAAGCCCTGCATGGACGTTTCGGGTTTAGGGATACGGGTTTGGCGTTTAGCGTGCAGGGCTTGGGATTAAGGTTGCATCCGGGCCGTGGGGCCCCATAAAGTCCGATTCGCGGACTTCCAACCTTCCAACCTCCAGGCTTGGTCTAGGTTGAATGGTTCTACAAGGCCTTCTTTGAGGTTCCGATCAGGCATCTATCAGATTTGTCCACTGTGTTTCGTTCTCACCGATAGCATTGCCATGGCCTCCTTTTGCTTCCTTATTGCACCGGGGCCAGGGGTTCTCTGCAGGTCCCATCCAGAAGGGTGTTGGTTTGGGTTCGAGGCTTCTGGGTTTGAGAATCGTGCTCTTGAAGCGTGTACTGTAGGGGCCTTAGGGCTTAATAATTCGAACAGGGTTTGGGGGGGTATATTATGCTAGGACTATAATAAGGAACCTCCAAAACCCTATTCTAATTACTAAGGCAGTGCGGTTTGCATGGTGGTGGAGATTTTTGGGATTCGGCTCGGGTGGCCTAAGGTTTCTTCAACCGATCAATCTGTGCATCGCTGCAGGCATCATGGGCCAGATGACGGGCGGCACCCCCGTGTGAAAGCATCATTTCAAGGATGTGGCTCTTCACTTGAACGGTGAAGGGGCTGCCTTCTCTAGTATGCTTTGCTGAATCCCGCCCCATGGCCTTGCAACGCAAATGTCACGAACGCAAGTCATCCTGCAGCAAGCAAAGGACCCGAATGGATGCCCAAAGCTGGCACACGTCGCGCGTAGCTCTCTGCCTCATCGCACTCTGACAAAAGGAAGGCTGACGGCAACCACGAGATGAGGTTTGTTTTTCTGGGCCCATCTACTGCACTGCGGAGTTAGGGCAGCAGCCTTCCAGCCGGGACCAGCATGAACCCAAGACACCCCCCCATCGAAGAAGCCGCGCCGTGATGCAAGATGGAAGGCTCAGTAGAAAATTTTTGGGATCAAATGCTCCGATAGCTCGGGACGCGCCCGCGGTCCAGGCCTCAGTCGCCTGTGTACAACCATGATCCTACAAGGTGCCATTAACAGAGACCTTATGCGCGGTTTAGGGCTTGGGTTTTATGTTTAGGGTTGGGCATTGAGGCTATTGTAAAAGGTAGTTCATGTAGTTCATGGGGCAAAGAACAGTTTGGGTTTTGAAAGATGCTTCTAGCATAGAGTGAGGCCTTAGCCTCTTCCTCGATCAGCTTGCCTTGTTCCTTTACCCGGGATCCGAAAGGCACTTAATATAGTCGACAACACAAGCCCCCAAACCCATCTCTGATACCTGAGGCCCCGATCTGAAACCCTTATACAGACTTTGAAGGAGCCATATTCCAATTCTCAAGGCCCCTTATGTTAGCCTTTTGGCTCCTGCCGCAAAGGTGAGGGCCTTGCCGTCCCCGGCGTAATGTCGGCCCCCGAGGATGACTCTGCAAAGAAAGCATGAGTTCTGAGGGTGGAGGTGTTGAGGGTTCAGCGTTTGGGGGCTAGGGTTTCTTGTTCATGGGCCTTAAACCTCTCAACACTTAAACTCTTCACTCAAACCTAATCTCCTGAAACGCCTAAACGCCCATAGATAACCCGCTACCGCAAAGCTCAATGCTGTACGGAAACTCATAGTGTTTTGTGGGTTTTCGGTTGGAGGGGTGCTGCACAGTCTGCCATCCCCTTTCGACCATGAAGACAAGATGCACAGTGGCCTGAAGCATGTAAGTATAGCAACAGGGTTTCACTGGGCGTCTTGGCGCACGTGCTTGTGCACGCTCACCACACACAACCTTAAGAGTTCGTCTCTCTTGTCGGGATTTGGGCTGCTCTTTGGGGAGTCTCAACCCTTAGCCGTCAAAGGGATCCTGCCCCAAACCTAGAGGTGGCTTTTCTGCTTGCCTCCGGCAAGGAAGCCTTGGCTAAACCCGAAACCTTCAACCCTGAACCTTAAACCCTAAACCCTCTAAACTCTCTAAACCCTCTAAACTCTCCAAAAAACCGGAAGCCCTAAACCGTAATCCGTGTAGCTCACGGTGTCGAAGTGCCTCCGAGGTGGGGCGCCGTGCAAGCGCCGGTCTCCCAGAAGCCCAGGATTTTTCTTCGATTCAGCGTCAGTTTGGGGGATTAGGGTTTAGGGTTAAGGGTAGGGTTTACGGTTTGGGGATTGGAGTTTAGGGTTTAGAGTTTAGGGTTCAGGGTTGAGGCTTTAGTTTAGGGTTTGGCATTTAGTTTGGGGTTCAGTTTGCGAGCCTAGAGCCTGAGCTCTCTGTTGTTTCGCCAGCGCATGTCGCTTTCCGGAGCGAGATGTCTGTGTATTTGCTCTGTGGGTTGTAGCGCAAAGCCCTGGTGCAAAGCGATCAAGCCAGAGGCACAACTTACGCAGCTCTTTTTCAGCAAAGATGACGTACTGGAAGGAGCTGCGATAACTGTGCCAATGCTTGATCGTTTGATCGTTTTACAATCAGAAACCAAGCAGGTTGGCACAGGGGTCTGCTGAGAACGAAACACTCACTGCTGTTCCAGTCTTCGGTCTCCGTAGCACTCCTTTTCCCATTCCGATTCTCCTCCATGCAGCGTCATAAAGTATGCAGCATCGTTATCATGAGCGTGTTTGCACGCTGTGTGCCGTAGGGAGCTTCCCTAAGGCAGCAGCACTATGGCTGGCCGCAGCAGTCGGCAACTGAGCTTCTATGATGGTTGCTATTGGCAGGGCTACAGCATGTGGCTGGTGATGCAGGCTCAAAATCTTGAAGACACCGGGGTCCATTGATCCCAAAACCCCAAACCTTAGCACCTCAAGGGCAATATATTGGCCTTAACAATTAGACTAGGGTTTTGGGGCAAATTGTACTATAATGGATTATGATTATAATATGGAACCTCCAAGGGTAATATTGGGGGTCTTAATAATTGGGGCCCATTATAGTAGTATAATAAGGACCCCCCCCAAAAAAAAATAGCGTAGGTAAGTATTTAAACCCCTATAGTAATGGACTATGATTATAACAAGGAGCCCCCAAAATCAGAATAGTGTAGGTACTTATGTGGGAGTTTCCGAAAATTGGGGGTACCTTATTTTGGGGTCCTTATAATAAGGATCCTCCTTTTTGGGGTACCATATGAGGGTCCCTTATTTTCGGAAACCCCCATGTAGGCCCCTATAGTAATCCCCGAGCCGGTGACGACGACATTCCCATGGCTCAGGGCTGCATGGCACGGGTCCGCAGCGCCTCCGCCGCCGCCTCCTGCGGGGGCCTCGTCGGCCTTTCTTCATCTGAGGGGGGGGATGGTTTAGGGTTAAGGGGGTTTAGGAGTTTAGGGTTTAGGGTTTAGGGTTTGCGGTTTAGGGTTTTCGGGTCAAGGGTTTAGCAGTTTAGGGGTCCTAGATCCTAAACGAACCCTGAGCCCCAAAGCCTCAACCCTAAAGCCTACAGCTTGGAGGGCTAAGGATGTTCAAGCGCAAGTACCCCGAATCCGAACCCTCAGGCCTGCATGCCCTGCTTTCGCGGATCCTCATTCCCGAGCCGCCACGAACCAGATAATAGAGAATCCTGCAATCTATTTCCTAGGGTGCCTTACTGGACCTATACTATAACATCATACAACAACACTAAACCCTCAACCCCTAAACCCTAAACCCTAAATCCTAAGCCCTCAACCCCTAAACCCTAAACCCTAAACCCTACTCTAATGATCAAGGATCCTGTATCATTGCCTGACCCTGTCCAGGGGCAGAGCGCTGCCAGACCCGCAGGTCGGTCCGGGATGAAATCTTCCGTTGCCATTCTTTAGGGTTTAGGGTTTAGGTTTAGGGTTTAGGGTTTTCTACTACAGCAGAAAACAGAAACTTGGAACATGGCTTTAGGAGGAATAGTGCTAGGATCCCTTATACTCTACCTTAAGGGCATGAGGATAATGATGTTCCAACTTTCTGGCTTCTACTGTAGTTGTTGTAGCTGCTAGTATAGTATTAAGTAGTTGATATTAGTTGTGATAGTTATGAATTGTTCTAGTACTAGTCGATATTAGTTGTGATAGTTATGACCGTATTAGTTGGAAGTACTCGCACATGCAGCGCTTCATGCCCTTTTTCATATTAGGAGATGCCCAAGACCTCGGGCCCCGCAGTGTTTTTGCATGCTTTGAGTTCAGAGCATCCTCATGGCCCACCCATGATGACGTCCATGGTCTAACCCGTTCCGAGAACAGAGCGTCCATCATGGCCCAACCGTGATGATGTCAATGGTCCGTTCAGAGAGCAGAGCATCCATAGCCATTGAGCATGGGTCTCTCGAGCCAGAAAAACCAAGCTTTTCTAACTTCCTGAATGGCGTGCTTCGTGCATACGAACGCGGGGGTCGGCGCGTCATGGTAGTCATTATAGTGGTTACTCTCATACTAGTAGTTTTGGTTGCTATGGTTGTTATAGCTATGTGGTATTACGATCATTATAGTTGTTAAGTTAAAAGTTAAAGGTATATAGTAGTGAGAGATACTACAGTCATCAAGAGTGTTTGGTTTTGAGAGCTGTTGTAGTTATTATGTCTATTGTGGTTAGCATGGCTCAATATCAGGCTATCCTGGTCATCATCACATTTCAGTACCATCACCATCACAACGCCAGCACCCTCAACACCATCAGCAGCAGCACCACTAGCACCTTGAGCCTGTGCCTGCAGTGCTGTGCTGAGCGCATAGCGGTGGGTCCATGGCAAAATGAGCAGAGGATTTGAGGATGTTGGGTACTAGGCTTCATAAAGTGGTAGGGAAAAAACGCATTGCCCGAAAGCCTCCCTGCTAAACCTGAGACTCGAAGCCCCAAACCTTCAACCCTGAGCGTGCGGTGCAGGCGGGCATGTTCCAGTCGCAGGCGTGAGCAAAGCTGGTGGCATCAGTGGCCAAAGTAGCTGCCCCAGACGTCAGGCTCCGCACTCACTAACTGAGGAGCTCAGGGTGGAAACAATAAGCATACAAATAGGGCATCTCCGATCCTCGTCTTCGTGATGACCGTCTGGCCTTCTGGTTCCTGACTATCACAAAAGGTCTCAGCAACACTACGATCAGTGTCACCTCAGAGTTGCCCGTCGTTGTGATGCCATCCTTTTTCTTCGTAGTTCTTGCCATCGATTGTTGTTTTCAGAACAAGTGTCGCTCAGGACTAGCCATCTTTCGTAGCCCATTATGTATCGTGCACATTCAGCGCGCCGTTCTTATTCTTGCACTTATGGTCTGTCTTGCTTGTACGGCAATTGGCGTTGTGATGATGGTTTGCAGTGTCACACCGCCGTCTTCTTTATGCGGCCTCTAGCGTCTGGTTAGGCGAAGAGATGCCAATGAGCAGAGACGTAGTAAATATAATGTTATAGATTCGTGTATGCCGCGGATTCCACATGCGCACGCACACGCAAGCATGGGGCTTCTCTCTGGCACGCGGCTAATGCGGCTAATGTTCTTGTTGGCCTTCTGTCCACTTGGTCCCTTCATTCCGCCAGCCGTATGGCTACTACTCAGTCACTATTCATACAGCCGTGAGCAGTTGTAAAACCAGACAAATGTTAGATTATGAGCTTAAAGGAGTGACTGTGGTTGTTCCGGGATTGTGATTGATTTTGTAGCTACCGCTTTTGTCATCCTCATCCGCGTCATGGTGTTCAGCGTGGCATGCACGACTGAGATGATGGTTCTTACAGATGTATACCCCTGATTAGTAAATCCGTTTTTCTTAAGGGACTCCGTATTAGGATCGGGGGGTTTATTAGTCAGATGTCCGCGTTACTTCTTGTTTCAATTTGACTCATGTGTCCGAAGCCCACCTACACCCTGCACCCATATAGCCCGCTTAGGGCTCCCGGCCATCTACCCTAAACCTGCAACTGCTGTTAGCCACTCTCGAAAATGCGAGGCAAATCTGCGGGGCCGCCGCCACCTGCGTCTGCGAACATGACTAAGGTCCTCGGATAGGTGAGAGACCATGTTAGGATCCCTAGTATGAGCAGCCCTGACATAAGGTAGCCTCAATTTCGGCAATCCGCCATACTACTGCTCAAGTGTTGGAGCTAAGCAAAGCCTATCGACACTCGTGCAAGTAGGGCAGTATTCGACTTTCAGGTACAAACACGGAGAATGGAGAACTCTAAACCTCAGCAGAAGCTTTGGGTGGAGGAACCCCTTCGTCAGCAGCTCCTGAGCATCAAGCGGTGTTGTGTGGCGGAGCCACAATCAGCAGGGGTTTTGAGTGGCCGCTGCTGCATCCCGTGGGTATGCTGCAGCTTTGGGCGGCTCATTTTGTCTGATAATCCTTGGTTTTCTTAATGCTACGAGGAACACGATGGCGACGACGATTAGCAATAATTTAGCAGACATGTGTATTTTCGAGAGCCGCAATGCCAAAACGCCTTGCTCTGCAAAGTTCATGCGGTTGGGGCTTCGGTTCGACCATTCGGCGGCCTAATACGTTGCGAATCCCGACATGACAGGAAGGAGCACAGAGCTGTTCATCTCCCAAAGAGCGAAGCTCTTCTACTCCGAAAGCCCTTAAACCCCAAACCCTAAACTAAACCCTAAATTTTCCTCAACCCTAAACTAAACCCTAAATTTTCCCGAACCCGAAACTACCCTAAATTTTCCTAAACCCTAAACAACTCTGAACTCTCTCGTACTCTGCGGAGCGACAGGCGGGTGCGCCGCCTCCACCGCCCCAGGCAGGGAAAGAGCCTTTCGGGGGATTTCTGCGCTGGGTTTTCAGCGGCCCAGGAACATTTATCGTTGAAATTCCGGAGGACTCAGTAGATTATGTTATAGTATAGGGTTTAGGGCTTAGGGTTTAGTATACCATATTATGTGATGATTATAGCACAGTAGATTATGAAAAATAGTATAGTATGCCATGGACTCGGAAGCAGTCATCGAAGTCGAGTTTTTGTGGCCATGTTGGGTGTTTGAGGGCCTGGCACCGGATTGAGGCGCCACAGCAGCAGCAGCAGCTGCAACAACAGCAGCTGCCCGGTGCTCAGTGACTTTTCCTTCGCTCATCCATAGCTCTACCCTGCCGAAGCGTGATGCATAGCTGTTGAAGTGCAATAGGCGCTGCAATCCTAACCCTCCTCCAACAGCCTCCTGGCCTGAAACGTAGCAAATGGGAGTTTCAGCAGGCCGGTGGCCCTCATGAGATTTTGGGACCGCGAGTTTGAAGCCCCAGCTGGGATTAGATCCCGAAAGCACTCGTGCTGGGTTGGAGTGGCTGTCCCATGGGCCCTCTGTGTTTCGAAGCAGTTGCGCTCGATGCGGCTAAAGTTTTGGGATTTCGGCTCTGGTCAACCAGTCTTGGGGTACCAGGTGAAGAACGTTCAGACTAGTCCAAGACTCCATGGCCTTTCCACCTTAAATCTTGGATACGAATATGAACCCTAAGCTCAAAACCCTAAGCCCTGGTGCTTCTCTGTAACATGCAGACTTGATTCAATTTCCTCTGCATGCTCAGCGCTAAGCCCCGAAACTGGGGCAAACACGCCCAGGGCAGCGCAGCAGCTGCAGCAGCAGCAGCTACAACAAGCTTATGCCCAGCAGGAGCAGCAGGCCCAGGCGGGACATCCTGAAGTACCGCATAGACGAGATAGCTATTCGACTATAGCGTACCAGTAACAGTAATCATAATCAAGGCAAGAATGATCGTGATACTGACACTCATCACCGTCCTCCTTAATTATCGTCGCCTCGGCATCACCAGCATGATCGTCTCCATCCTGACACCATTGAATGTCATCGGCATCACGAGCATCTTCGTCACAATGACAGTCATCATCACCACCATCATAGTCGGCGAAAATGATAATCATCATCATCAACACCATCATCGTCAGCGAATATTCATCATCATCACCATCGTCATCATCATCATCATCATCATCGTCAGCATCATCATCAAATCATAGATGTAATAAAGGTAGCAGTAGTAGTAGTAGTAGTAGTAGTAGTAGTAGTAGTAGTAGTAGTAGTAGTAGTAGTGGTAGTGGTAGTGGTAGTGGTAGTGATAGTGGTAGTAGTAGTAGTAGTAGTAGTAGTAGTAGTAGTAGTAGTAGTAGTAGTAGTAGTAGTAGTAGTAGTAGGAGTAGTAGTAGTAGTAGTAGTAGTAGTAGTAGTAGTAGTAGTAGTAGTAGTAGTGGTAGTGGTAGTAGTAGGAGTAGGAGTAGGAGTAGTAGTGGTAGTAGTAGTAGTAGTAGTAGTAGTAGTAGTAGTAGTAGTAGTAGTAGTAGTAGTAGTAGTAGTAGTAGTAGTACTAAAGCGCCACGATCGGTTCAAACGCGCGGGGGGCTTATGGCCGGTGCCTTGACGGTGGCTGTACACCTGAAGGCTGTTGCTGAAGATATACTGTTGGATTCCTTTCTGGGGCAGTGCATTCCTGAATCACGACAAAGATATATCATCGCACTGCGTCGCGCCTACTGGCGTGACGCCACGGCTTTACAAGTCATTGAGGACGTGATCGAGTGGTTTCCTTCAGATTGCACACTTCAGTCCAATTATCCTGACCACCTGCAGGTGTTTGAGAGGATACAGTGCTGATGGGAGTACAGCTGTTTTCTGGTCTGGCCACGAGCCCTCACTATGGATCCTCCAAGATAACCAGTACAACCCGGCAGTTCGAGTGTTCGTCTTTTCTGCCAACTAACCCACGTCTACTACTTGGAGGTGCTTGCTCGACCCGGTCCCAATTCCGGGAGGGAACAGGTACAGCGGAGGACGCGAAATCTTCCAAATGGTTCCCTGGCGCGAGGGTTGACGGTACGCCCTCTGGTCCGTCTGGAGCTTCGGCTAAGAAGGGGGAAGTCAAGGTCGGCTCTTTTAAGGCAGCCGGTGTATGTATGAGTAGAGTGAAGAAAAGATCGCTTCGAAGAGCCATCAAGAGGGCACAGTCTGGTGCAGATGCGGTGTATCGGGGCCGACGCGTGGTTCATGACCCAGTGAGCCCGTATGTGCCTCGTTCGGATAGGCCTCCCAATACGTAACAACGGCTCCAGATCCTTTCGTGGAATTGTAGTGGGCTCTCGCAGCTCCTTTTTGAGGAGTTGAAGTTGTACCTTAAGCAACATCCGGAGATTCAGATTGTCAGCCTGCAGGAGACACACAGAGCTTTTCAATCGGAATGGGTTGCTGAGGGCTGGACCTTCATTCACAGTGCCGCTTCTAAGGCTCACCAAAGGGGGTGTGCTGTTGGGCTTCAGAGATGGCTTTTGCGAGCGTGGTTCTTTGCGCTGGCAGGAGGTTCATCCTGGTAGGCTGCTGCATGTGCGGTGCTTCTCACAAGATCAACATCTGGACATTGTATGCCTGTATCAACATGCGCTTCCGTTCGACGGCGACGCCCTGGCAGCGACGATGACGAAGCGCAGGCAGCTCTGGAACAAGCTGGACGGCCTTTTACGCTCCATGCCTATACGCTCCTCAGTGGTGCTGTGTGGGGACTTCAATTCCAATCTGTGCACTTCTGTGCCATACATTGGTCATAGTGTCTTGCACAACAAGGCTAAACCGGCAGTTGTTGAGGAGCGGCAGTGGCTGACTAGCATGTTAGTGTCACATCAGCTCACAGCCCTGAACTCGTGGTCCAGACGAGCGCACACATATGATCATCCATCGGGAACTTAATTAAATGAAGCGTGAACAAAGGGTAAAGAATGCACGCCTTTCGCTCCATTTAATTCACACAAAGAAAACCACCAACCACAGGCCCTTGATTTGATTGGTATGTGGCGTGTGTAGTGTTAAGTGAGAGAAACACGCGCCCCCTTGTTTTGTCCTCACTTAACCACACGCCCTTACAATATGAAGAGAGCTTTGTGTTTCTTTCATCTTTTGTTTTGTTGAATTGAGACAAAGGAGCAAAGAACAAAAGAAGCGGATGCGTGCTCAATTCAACATAAACAAAGCATGAAAGGCACACAAAGAGAACGAAATCCAGCCGCCGTTCCACTATTTTGCTCTCTTTATTTCCGTTTAATTCACGCTTCACTTTCGTTTCATTGTAATTAAACGGAACAAAGGAGCAAAAGAGTGAAGGGAAATGAGAGCGGCGGCACAAGAAGAATCCTGTATGAGCCCTAAAGACCTAAATCCGCAAATTGACTGGATCTTGGCTAGGTCTTCTGTTGCAGATTCGCGAGCCAAGCTATGCACACCGCGTGCACCGCCCATTGCCGGGTGGAGATCTTCGGGGCACAAAATGCTTGCGGCATCGATTCCCTTGCAGTGGAAACCCTGGAAACTCAAGGCTCGAAGACACAGTGGACAGGCTGGACCGAAGTCTGGCAGTTTGGGAGCGATGACCTCCCCAGGGCTTCTCATGCTGCGACAAGAAGTGCATCAGCAACCAGTTCAGGACCGCCAGCCGTTGGTTCGTCCAGGGGTTCTCGGGATTGATGGGGAAATCATTCGGTTCTGGGAAGCCCGCGGGATTCTGGCTAGAAGGCAGGTGTTTACGATGCGGGATGCCTTTGTGCGGATGAGGCTGATTCTCCAGCTCCAAAAGCGCAAGCGTGAGTTGCAGTCGCAAGTGAGGGCACAGAAGAGACAGCAGTTGCTGAGCACGTTGCAGTTGGCGGAGCATGCTGCCTTGAAAGGGGATAGTAGAGGTCTTTTTCAGTGCGTTCGTTGGCTTGCACCAGTAATTATTCGGAGATCAATTCGACTTCGTAGCGATGAGGGGCATCTACTACATCCCAGGGAGGAGTGCCGTATGCTTGCAAACTATGCTGAAAAGCTTTTCTCTGCCACACGGGTTGGTGATGTGGCTGTACCCACTCTGGAGCCTCTGGACCCAGAGATCTTTGCTGCTCGGGAGTGGGAAGTTGCGCTTGCGCAGCTTCGCTCAGGGAAGGCGGTTCCATGGAATGCACCTACAGTCCAGCAGTGGAAGGACAGTGCGTCCCTTGTATCTGAGAGGTTGCGGGATATTGCCATAAGTCAGGGTGCCTTTGGAGTGGTCGGAGGTTCAACTGGCGTGGTTGGCCAAGGCCGGAAAGACACCCTCGTGTCCCCAAAACCTGAGGTCCATTGGTTTGATGCCAGCTGACACAAAAGCTTTTCTGTTGGTGTTTCGCAGGGCTGCATCCCCGTATATCGACATTGCGCTGCAACACTTTCCCCAGTACGCCTATCGCAAAGGGGCCTCCACTGCCGATGCACTGCTTCGCGCTGCTGGGCACTGCTTCGGAGTACGCATGCTGCTTCAAAGGCACAGAAAGGATCATACCTCTAAGATGCTGGGTGAGGCTTCGGTTCCTTTGGTTGGAGGGCTGATGTGCGGACTGGATTTGCATAAGGCGTTTGATGCTCTTCCACATGCTGAGATTCATCAATCCCTGCTTGAAGCTGGAGTGCCTACATCACTTGCTGTAGTCATCGTGCAAGCGCATGTACAAACCCTTTGTTTGGTGCGGCATGGAGGGGATGAACGCGCGGTGAGTATGTCGCGGGGGCTTCGGCAGGGGTGCCCTATTGCACCGATTGTGTTCGCGGCTTGGACATGCAGAATGTGCCGGCTAGTAAATCGTAGGCTCTCGCGCACCTGGACGGATGAGCATGGCACGTTGTTCGCGGATGATATCTTCTCCTGTTGGGAGTTGCATTCGGTCAAGGCCTTCACAAATGCGGTGCTGGAACTACGGGCTCTTATTGAGGTCTTGCTGCAAATGGGCATGGAGGTCAATTTCCAGAAATCGGTCGTGGTTCTTCGGTTGTGTGGGGTTGCGGTTGCTAAGGTGGCAAAGAGCTACTTGGTTTGGCGAGACGGGGCACAGCATCTACGCATTTGCTGCACACACCGAGACATCTATATCCCCTGTCAATCCTCTATGCCGTACCTTGGGGCCACACTGTCGTACGGCAACTTTGAGCTGCAGACCTTCCACACTCGAGCTACGCAAGCCAAATCCAGATTCCAGGAGCTCCGCCGTGTGCTGCGCACTGATGGCGCGATTACTGGCCGGCATCGCTTGCGCCTCTACAAGGCCATCATTTGGCCAACGTTGTGGTATGCTCTTGCGAGTGTGGGAATCACCGGGGATGTGCTCCGAGGGGTTTGTTCACTGCTCTGTGTACAGCTGCGTAAGGTGCTTCGGGTGTATGAAGAGGGGGTTAGCAATCAGGAGGTGCTGAAGAGAGCTGGACTGGACCCACTGCAGTATTTTCTGTGGCAGGCAAAGACCAAAGGAGAGTCCATTCTGCAAGATCAACGGCGTGCGGACCACATCAAGGTGCAGGAAAGTCAGCACTGCTATCGGGTGTACCAGCGCATGTTAAGCTTTGAGGACGGTGTCTCGATGACCTCTTTGACTCGGGTGTCGAAGGTTGATGCGGTTGCGGTAGCCTGCCCGGTATGTGGTTTGTACTATGACTCTCAGGCCAGCCTCCAGATGCACATTCAGCACAAGCATGCGGCGATCAATGTGCAGTCGAGGCTTTCCTTTCGTCGGGATCTTCATGCATTGCATGGGCTGCCAATTTGCAGATTTTGTCAGGTTCGATTACATGACTGGCGATCGCTTGAGAAGCACATCACTGAAGGCTGCTGCCCCAGGATCAAA